ATAATTTGTACTGTGTATGTGTATGTGAATTTTCGTTTTTCTCAAAAAATATTTATTTATTCATCAATTTCTATTTTGTCCACTTCAAAGTAGTTCCCCTCAGATATTATACACTTGTGCCAGCGTTTTCTCCAATCCTTGAAGACGTTCTGATATGCACTCCTCAGTCGTCGCAAAACACCGTTCTTTGATAGGTCTCTTCAATCTTGTGAAGAGGAAAAGTCGAAGGGGTGTAAATCTGGTGAATACGGTGGCTAAGGCATAACTACGGTGTTGCTTTTGGGCATAACTTCAAGATAGTACTCTTTATTGGCCGTACGACCATGTGGCAAGAACTCCTTATGCACTACGCCACGGTATTCGAAGAATACTTGATCTTGGGTCTCCTGGTCTCTTCCATTGGAACGATTGAAAATGATTCGTCACCAGTTATGACTCTTGTGAGCAAACCTTGATCGCCATTGACATCATTCAACAATTCCTGAGCGATGCTCATGCGACGTTTTTTTTTATCAAAATTTAGCAATTTTGGAAAGAACTTCGGTGCCACACGCTTCAGTCTCAAAATTTTCGAAAAAATTGCATGACATATGAGTCAACCGATATGCCAACATCTTGATTTCTCAACATTTTCATCGGTTGTCCAGGGCGAGCGTCGTCATTCACATCTTCTCGACCTTCTGTGAAAACCTTGAACCACTTGTAAACATTTTTCTGGCTCAGAGTACAATCATCGTATGCCACTGTCAAAAAACGCTGTTTACCTTATTTTTTGAACAGTCCACGTATACCAGGTTCGGGTTCTGTTGGGCGATACCTGGAATTCTCGGCAAATTAAATATTGCTAAGGAGTCGCACAATAAAGTCTATAAAATAGAAACTTTTAGGTTTTCTTGAACATGAAAGATTCTTAACAAATGTCTAAGATAAATGTATTTTTTACATGTGTTTGCCATAATTAATTGTACAAAACATTATATTTTATGTAAGTGTGCATATTAAATAAGTATCAGTTCATAAAGTAGCTTTTTAATAAATAGCACAAAACCACAGAAACTTATTTTGCATCTTTATTGTGATTGTTTTATGCATCTGTCACAAAGGGGAGGCGTACTTCATGAAAGATATCACAATCAAATAATGGACCTATTTTCCTGTGTGCACCAAAATCTTTCACACAAGACGAATACTTTAAGGAATTGCAATTGTTGTACGAGGACTTTCGAAACTTTTTTCAATATTGAGTTCTAGCTTATTTGACTTATGCTATCTAGGTGACCACTATACATGAAGGGGCAACTTTTCTGGATAATTCACAGTTCTGTATATTTATGTATCATTTGAAAATATGACGTATATATTGTACTTGACACATTTATGTTATTCGTAAACAAATCAAAGAGTGATGCTATTTTGAATTAATAATTAATTAGTGAGAAATGAACCTATTTAACTTGAATCTGGTCAATATTACACCTTGGTCAAAGATGACACGGACTGGTTTAAGTTTGACGATAGTCGTGTCACTAAGTGTTCTGACGATGTATTGAATTTATTGGAGTCTCTAGAGCAGTGGTTCTTAACCGGTGCTCCGCGGACCACTGGTGGTCCCTAGAAGCATCCCAAGCCGTCCGCGGAGCCATCCTAATAAATATCTTAGATGAGTCGACACGATACAATGCGACCTGTCGCTAAAATGTTAGAATGAATGAATGAATGCTTTATTTATCATCGGATAATCAGATTACAATGTATAAAGAAAATATAAAAAATACATATTACAGAAAATATAAAAAATAAAAGAATAGTATGGAACATGCTAAAAATTTTATACAGATCTATATATACATATACATTAACATATACATAAATATACACACATAGACACATATATACCTACATACACAAAAATAATATCATAACGAACCCACATCAGGAACCACCTATTTTATACATATATACACATATACATACATATAAACATATACACACATACACATACATATACATACACATACACATTTATAATGTTCAATTTGTCACATATTGTTTCAATTTTGTTTTAAACAATTTCATGGAAGAAGGAAGAAAATTGAATTCAACAATACCTTTGAAAAAGACAGATTTCATCGAACTAGCTTTAAAGGTTGGTTTTTCTTAGAAATTCATATTACTTGCAGTTCGTGTTGCTCGATCATGGATATTTTCCACAGGAATCAATTGACACTGTAAATAATTGGGCAGTAAATTATTTATCATTTCGAAAATGAAAGTCATTTGAATATAATGCCAGTTGAGGATATCTAACATCGATTTTACATTCGTATACCTGTTTGTTCGTGTTTGAGGAAGAGTTACTATTTTCGTCGGAAGGTGCAGATGTTATGTATGCATTAAGTCAGTATAAGGAAGAACATGGACGTATGTGGTAACGGCTTGCGGGGTTTTGTACGGACGGTGCTTCTGCTATGCTTGGTTTTCGCTCTAGTCTTGCAGTATTGATAAAAACCAAAAATCCGTTTACAATTACGACGCACTGCGTTATTCATTGTCAAGCACTAGCTGTCAAGACATTTCCAGAATGCTTTGCTTTAACGATGAAAATAGCTACAAAAGTAATAAATTTCATTAAAAAGAATGCACTCAATACTGGTCTCTTCAAACAATTGTGTTCTGATATGAACTCTGAAGATGAAACTTTGATTTTCCACATGAAAGTGCCTTGGCTTTCCAAAGGAAACAAGTTATTGAGGTTGTACGAACTAAGAGAGGAAGTAAAAATATTTCAACTAACAAGGAAAACAAAGAGTTGTTGGATCAGTTCTGCGAGTCCAAATTTCAAATATATTTTGTTTATTTGGTCGATTTTTTTGCGCAACTGAATAAATTAAACCTTCTACAGGGGTCGGGAATTTTAGATTGCAAGGCATGAGCAATAGTTTTGCTTATGAAGATAAAATCAGTGCGTTTATCGCTAAAATCGAGCTATGGATCAACAAGGTCGAAAGTAATAACTTTTTTGTGTTTGAAAAGCTTAATTAAATTATTGATGGACAGAGTGCTGAAATTGAAGGAGAAATATAAAAGAACATATTACATTTAAAAAACTTAAAAATTGAATGCAATCGCTATTTTCTCGACTGCGAGGATAAAAGTATTCAAAAACTGATCCGCAATCCATTTATTGTAAACGTTTCTGAGGTGCCTGATGAAGTTCAAGAAGAAGTGATTGATATGCTTCACGACAGCAATTTAAAAGATACATTCGAATCAGGAATTAATCTTGAAGAATTTTGGAGCCAAAAGGTAATTTCTTTATCACAACTTCGAGACATTGCTATTCGATACCTAACTTTATTTTCTTCCACATATCTATGTTTTCGGCGCTTCTGATTATTAAAAACAAGCACCGAAATCCATTGGATGACACTGCTGATATGCGTTTAAGTTTAACTAACACTGAACCAAGGATTCAGAATTTATTAAAGAGTATGCAATCACACTATTACAGTTACAGATTTTACCTAATGAATATAGAACATTAATTTTATTTATAGATGAATTAGAACAACCATTCCATTTATTTACTGTACTGTACTGTAGTTATCGTAAGGTACTTTATATTAACTACAAACTAATTAACCAACTTGGTGCTCCATGACCTGACAGAATTTTTTTCAAACGGTCCCGCATGACTATAAGGTTAAGAACCACTGCTCTAGAGACACCCTACATTTTGTTTTATGGAAGAGAGGACATTGGCAGATCAAGATCCTCAGATGATGTGGTGCTGCAGGTTTTTCCGAGTTTTCCTGCAGCTGAAAAAGCAAATGCGCCACTGGAATCAATGAAGTCGCCCCGGAGCGCCTATTAATTTTTGTTGTTGTTTTATAATTTACTCAGTTATAAATATTTTATGAAATTACTCTTTAATGAAGAATGGTTGGTTGGGTAACAGGATCAATTTTTTCTTAAAAAACAATTGTTTTTTCAACGTTTCGAATTTAATTAAAATCTTCTTCAGGGCTCGAAAAGTAGTTTCTTCGTGTTAATATTACTATTTTAAAAACCATTAGACATATTAGATACATAAAAAAATGAAAACATTTTCGTTTTGTGTTGATGTTGTCTCGAATATTTGGTTGTTGCAATGTTATTCTTTTTTTTTAATGTATCTAATATATCTAATGGTTTTTAAAATAGTTATATTAACATAAAGAAACTTTATTTCGAGCCCTGAAAAACAATTCAATTGAATTCGAAACGTTGACGTAAGAAAAAATTGATCCTGTTACCGAACCAACCTTTCTCCAGAAAAAACATTAGATCATTAAACTAATTAACTTACTCTTCAATGTTTTGAGAATCTTCCTTTCATAAGTTAGGAGATTAGTCACTGTATGTCACCATTCATATGATTTAGTAATGTAGGCTTTTACGGCTGGCGTCAATGTGTTGGTTGGTTTCCGGGTTTTGCCGTGGAGGAAAACAATCATATGATTTTCCTCAATTATTTCTCTTTATGATAAAAAAATGTTGGTTCTGAAGGTGGCAAGCAGTTTAGCGGGTTAGTTAGGTATTCCGCTATAGTTTTTGTTTTTTCTCTTGCCCCGGATTTGAAAATAAGTAATGTAAATACTTGTGATTTGGAAATATGCTCCACTAATAATAAAAATTAAAAAGTAAGGTGAGGGATGTAGTTATAGAATATTACATTATTCAGTGATTTGTATACTTTTAAAAATGTTGGTCTTTGATATATGGGTTAAATTTGAGAAAGGTTTATTTCCATATAAACCGTGCTATAATGATTTTTATGTGTTGAACAATTGGGATATTCTCCATTCTCCAAAATACTGTTGTTCCTGAACAGCATAGCAATTTCTCTTGAATCAAAATGCCGATTGTTATCGGTATTTATCATACATTGTTTATACTAATTTTTTAATAATTGTTTACGGAGAGCACCAACATCTATTTCAATGTAATATATTTTTCAGTATGGACGGAAGGATATAGAATCAGCTCAGAAATATAAAACTTTAGAAACACCCGATGAGGATGATGAAGGCTACAGCGAAGAAATTACACCACCCGAAAAAAATAACGATCCTTCGCTAACTTCTCCTCCAAATGGTATATCCAATGGAGGGAATACTCTGATCAGCAGAGACGATAAACTTGTTTTTAAACCAGAACCTCCTACTCAACAGCACAAAGAAGAGGACAAATTATCTGATGAAGAACTGAAAGAAACAAATAAGGTAGGAATATTTTAAAGCAATGACTGTACTAATTTGATTGATAGAAAACGCATGTTTAAATTTCTTGCAAGTTATCTTTGTGCAGGGTGTTTTTTACCTTATAAAATTAATTAAAATATTCAATATCGAGATGCCGTAAAGTAGCGCGATTCTGCAAAGTAACGCAAATTATACAATGAGACATGTTTGGTACAAGAGTTTCTATAGTTTTGTAAATCATGCCCTAAAGAAAATAACACCGGCCGCCACTGGTAGCCATAAACCAATTGTGACGTAGCTAAGAGCGCGCGAATGTAGGATGTTCGCTGTCGCTCTAGATGTAGCGAGAATAATGCTACCCATTTCGATGGAATTCCGGCGAATTTTGTACCGCATTTGATTACGATATATAAACGCTAGCCACAAGCATATCGACACAGTAAAGTGGAAGTTACAGTAAGGTACTCGAAGCGATCTAGTTAGACATTCGAATAATAGTTGAAGTTTTTGTTGAAGTGTTTGTTGTATTTGAAGTGCAATAAAGTTGCACTTCAAATACAATCATTCAATGTAGTCAATTATTATTGGTCAACCCACGGGGAAAACGTAACAATACTTTTGTTTGTTTAAAGGTGATGTAAAATAATTTGAAATCCCGAAAGAAAATACAATTGAAAAATAAAAATGAGTAGCTGCAAATAACAATTCATTGAGCAAAAAAACTGAAATGAAATTACCGTGAAATAAAATACAAGCAAAAAAATGTAAAATCGAACAGTTGAACAAAAAACAAAGAAAATAAAAATTAAATAGATACTTTCACGGGAAGTGTTCAAGTGACTTGGCACATTTGATTCCACCAAGAGCGCTACATATCAAAACTACGCGACGGACTGTGACTGCTCATCGTTTTTGGGGTTCAACTTCACTGTTTAAGATTTCTTCCATTTGGAGAACTGAGTTCATGTGGAATAAACTTCACGATAACGTTTTTCCAAATGGATTCAATCTCCAGCGATTCAAATACAATGTGAATCGCTACTTTCGCACAGGCATCGCTCTTAGACCGCCTTAAGGATTTTCCTGTGGTGCTTGTGTTTTGTCCTTGAAAAAAAATGACTCACAAACATGAAACTTTTTTTTCTGCTGCTACTGGGAGCTGTGTGACTTCTCCATCTTTTCAAAGAAACGTTTGAACCTTTAGGACTGAGAGCGGTTTTCCTCATCTTTTCATGGCACCTATTAGAATAATGTTGTTCCTGGTACCAGTTTGTAAATCTGTAGGTGTTAGATGTCTGTTATTCTTCTAGACATAATTTGAGTTGTATATAAATTGCTCACCTCCTGTGACTCAGTGCTCATATTTGCATAAACGTCTGTACCCAGCCTGATTCGCTAATAACATTCAGTTGTTTTATCTTAGACCACCTAGCGAAAAAAATGTTATTTTGGTTTCATTCACCACTGAGTAGGTAGGTCGAAAGTGATAGGGTCTGTTGGACCGTCCACTGCAACCCGCGAGGATTTATTTTGACTCATTCTTATTCAAACTCAATCAAATAAATCCAGCTTCTTGATGAAACTGAATAATTCGTTTGTTGAGAAATTTTTTATCAGCTGTAAGGAACTAAATGCAATCTCCTAATCCTCTCGGGTAATCTGTAACCATCTGGTCTGGAATGTGCAGCTCTAGACATTCGATCTGTCGACCATCTACTGGCATATCCTCCGTTGCCGCCATAATGGCATACTGAAGAGTTTCCAATTGACTAGTCGGTACTGAGGATGTAGGATATTCAAGGTGTAAGTATTCCACCTTAATGGCCGCAGCAGCCTTCTCATAGGAAGGCATCAGTAAGTCAGCTACACTTGACTATACATTAGATTCAGACATACAGGGATTTTTCGTCTTTAGATGTGGTAGATCATTGTTTGAGCTTAAGCGCTTGCTTCTGCTGCTCAAGAATCGTTTAGGAGAACTCTTACCTCCACAGGCTACACTCATTCCTGCAGGGCACCACTAAGTAAATTAGATTAGGTCTAAAGTGAGTGGGTCTATTCGATCCTCCACTCCAAGGGTTTATTGTGGCTCACACCTATTTACACTCGACCAAATAAACCCAGCTACTTAACGAAGCCGATTAGTTTGATTCGGTCCCCAGCGAGGCAGCCACAAAGTATGTGCTCTGCCATTTCATCATTTTCCAAACAAAGGCGGCACACACTGTCTTCCGACAATCCGAGTCTCTGCATATGATGATTCGATGATTCAATTGACAATGACCTGTAAGAAGGCCTGTTAGACACCGTAGTTCATCCCTACAATAGTCCAACAATGGTGAATAAACGCCGTGGAGTGAGCCAATCCTGATAGAATCTGCCATAAGTCTCTAAATCTTCTTGCCATTCAGGTGACCAACATAAAACTGTATTTCAATTTCCACAATATATACTCTTCTCAAAACACCAACTAACTAGTTTCAGACTTTCCATTGCTATCTCATATCTGTTCAAGGTTTAGAAAAAAGATTTCAACCTCAGTGAAGTCCAATTCAGAAAGATGAATTCTCTACCAGCGAGATCATTTGTCTCCAATATAGTCTATTTTTTCTCTCTTAGTCCTAGTGTGTCTAATGTTTTTTGATAAACACTGTAGGACAGTATCCCTTTGTTTAATATTATTAGATACTCGAATAACATTTTTTAGATCTAACAGTTCGTTTAAATGTTAATATACTAAAGTAAGACAAGAATATGATATGCTGTTGATAAATTCAAAGAAAGGACAAATTGAAAAATAACATAATATGTTCTGACAACAAATCTGAATGCATATGGAGCATCTGCAATGAAATTAAAAGCTAAGTGAAGAATACTGTTTACAATGTAAATGGGGATACTCAAAATATCGTAGATGATTATGATAACTATCTGACATCAACAATCTCAGATTTAACATCACAGTTTAGTAAAATTCCATTTCAATGTAATGTTACAATCAATACCGAAAGGAAAAAAATCGCCTACACTGATATTTTAATGGCAGCAAGTAAAATGAAGAATAAATGTATTCAGCCTATGCCATTACAAAAGTTGCACTAGTTATTTGTGATATTTTATCATATTTACTATTCATTTACATACGGAATATTTCCAATACAATTAAACTCGGTTATTGTGAAACCATTGCGAAAAAAGTGATTCCTTTGAAATTCATAGACTCATTAATGTTCTGCCTATCTTCTTAAGTGCTAATACATGGTTCTCTAATCTCTAATAACTGCAATTTAAATTCACTATGAATATTATAAACTTGATGAAACGATTAAAAAAACACTCCTCCCACACTAGAACAAAAATATTGTCTCTTGACATGTTGGATATCTGGACAACCATGAGGGTCTCTATTTTGATTATTTCCAAAACAATGGATCAGTCATTGTAGATTTTTTGTTTGAAAAACCATGTTGATCATCACTGAGTTGTAAATTACAATTTTTTTAGTATTTATGAACACAATTATGAAATGAAGATGATCATGTAATGAGTAGTGTCTTGTGAAAAATACAAAACATTGTGAATAACAATTACTATGCTAAAAATTTTGTAGATGTGAATTGCTGATTTAGAGTATTGGTTCAAGGATTCTTAATATTCATGAAGGAAAATATTTACACTTACAAATTTTTCCATATTCATATTACATTCAAATTAGTTGAATTGTCGTGTAATGAAGATTATTCACCTTTAAAGACATCAACAAGTGCAGGCTCCATTGCTAACAACTATAATGCAAAATAATCATTGTTATAGTTTTTTTTTCAAAATAATTGTTATTCATGAATTGCATAATTATTTGTTTACTGCATCAGAAATAGTCCATTTGCTATTAATATTTCATTTACGCTTCATTAATTGAAAAATATAGTTTTTGCATGAAAAAAATTAAATGATTGTTTTTATATTCATCAAGAAATGCGATTGTAGTTTGTGCGTCTTATCTAGTTTGAACTATTTTTTTCCGATGAAAGTTACATTGAAAGAGTTTGAAAATTGCGGAATACATGTATACAGTTATATTTTTAGTCCAGACAAAATAGATGGAAAAAGGGCTGGGTTTGCAAAAATTCCCTACAAGCTAATTTTTTTACAGACCATAAATACTTCATTATAAATTAAATCTCAAATGTCCCCATCGATCCCACTTGTGCGTTGTTTTTTATTCGAGGTCAAAGGTCACAAATTTCTGGTTTTTTGTGTATATCTCTTGAATGACGAGATCGGTACATATTTTAACAAAATCCCGAAACACGTCAAATTTAAATTATAATTTGACATACTTTCACGGAAAAATGCTACCCCTACCTTCAACCCTCGTCGAATGACAGGTACAACTCCCAATTTTTTTAATGGGGAGCATAGGCTTGTGATGTATCGTTTGAAAGGTCTCTTCATTCTGTATTCAAAAATGTTATCGCTTTCAAGTTCATTGCAACGAAATTCGATAAAATATACTCGAAACTTATTTCATGTTGAGGTATTGATAATGAATGGTATCCTTTAAAACAAAACCTAAATAATTTCCGTGGCAACGTTAGTTTAAAGTGCCTTGTCAACTTATTTTGTATATTACAACATTAGTCGTCAGTATTTTAATTTGAGTTTAAAGTTCGTCAACTTCAAGTCTGACAAATGGTTAAATAACGGAAATGCATAAAAGAACAGTTTTACAAATGATTGGTTACGGAGATAAAACCCGAACACAATAGGAAGGAGCTCGCCTATTCTTATTAATTTTGTGAGCAAATGATGGACATGTTGGATAACAATATCTATTTATTTATTTATTTATAAACAGGTTACCCCAATACAGTTAAGAAATAACATATATGTTGCGACGTTTAACTTATGCACTATATCCCTAAAAATAAAATAATATCTGAAATATATAAATATAAAATAATAATAAAATTTCAATTTTACAACATTATCACTAATCATAAATAGAAATCAATTGAACAACAATCTAGCTATTTGTTTTTTAAAAATCTTTGGATTTTCGCAGAAGAAATCAACACTATTAAAATATGTATTTCCCAATCTTAACATATTTGAGATGGGTGTATAAAAACCATAGTTAGTTGAGTGATGTGGTACAACAAATAAGTTTTTTTGTCTAGTTTGTCTATTTGGAACATTGAATGGTATAATAGAGAGAACTTCCGGACAATCGATTATGCCAGAGATTATTTTGAATTAGAAGACGTTATGCTTTCTGATGAGTGTACTTTGTCTCTGCTAATCGCAAAATTGCCGCTACTGGTCAACGGAAAATCCTCACTGAATGAGAGAATAACACACGCAATACCCTCAAAAGGTTCATGTTTCGGCAGGGATTGTAGGAAACCATATCATTGGTCCCTTTTTAATGAAGGATAACTTGAATGACGATAATTATTTGGCACAACTTCAAAATGAAGTCATTCCAAGTTTAGCAAACTTATATCCTGATCCAGGAAACCCTCAAGTTCCAGTGAATATGATATGATTTCAGTAGGATGGAGCACCACCACAACACCGAGTTGATGTTCTTTTTATGGGGATATGTGAAGAGCGATGTGTACAAAACTAAACCTACATTTGAATGACTTAAAAGAACGAATAATGCTTGCGATTAGGTCGGTCACGCCTGCTATGTTAAATAATGTTAGAAGACAGTTTTATTTGAGATTAGGATATTGCCAAGACTTTAGCGACGAGCATTTTGAACATCTACTTCGTTAAAATCCATAGTTCTTTTTCGTATTCTACATTTCATTACGTTTTTCATTACATTTTAGTTTTTGACTGTATTTTTTCGAATTTCGGTAACCACATGATTTTAATTTATTTTATCTTAATTGTTGCAAGAAACTTGAAATGAAGAGATCTTTCAAATGATATATCAAACACCTATATATCCCATTTAAAAAATTGGGGGTTGTACCTATCATTCGAAGGGGGTTGAAGGTAGTTGTGGCATTTTTATGTTGAAAAAAGTCAAATCATAATTTACATTTGACGTGTTTCGGGATATTTTTAAATATGTACAGTAACCAAAATAATGAATTTATTCGAGCTTTCGAAAAATTTGGTTTTCTTCCAAAATATCTAAAATTAAAATATGGAAGCAATCTATAAATCGAAGAACATATAGAAATAACTCACCAAAATTAGGTTTAAAAAAGAAATGGCATTCATTTACACAAATAAAACGATGACTAATCTTAATATAATTTTGGTCTATAAAGAGTTATAATTATAAGTCCGAGTAAAAATGTGAAAATGAAAAAAATCAATTATCAGTTGTAAATACAATTTAGGTATTTTAAGAGTTTTTTATTTTTATTTTGCTAAACCAAAAGATTTTTCACTCGATCTGCATTCACTTTTATATGAGGTAATTCATGAAGATATTTTACAAGAAATCTCACCAATGTAACCCAAATTACAGGGTGTATATGGAATACTGTATATCACATTATATTTTTCTTTAGTCGTGAGGGAAGTTTTAGTTTTCGAATAAAGGTTAGGATTAGTTTGCAACATTTTGTAGAACTTTCGATATTTCGATATAGAAATATATTGAATTGAGAAATATCGAATAGTCGTATGCTCATTATTGTTGTTTAAAGGGGAAGAATTAAATGAAATTTGATTATTTGAATTTGTCTTATTTCACTATATATTGGAATTTGCTAAGTTGGTTAAATATTTATTCAAAAGCTTTGGCGTATAACAATTATCTATCAAAATATTCCTCAGTGATTTCAAATCATGTTTGACAAAAATCTGGATGGGATAATCTTGTAACTCATTCTCTAAGAGATAAAATTGAGTAAGTTTCCATTCTCAAAGGATGATGAGAAAAGTAACTGATAATAAATCTATTACTCTAATATAGATTTTCTATACCATCGTGGTCTTGAGAACGTAACCTCCAAATCTGATAACTCTCATGTCAAGGAATGGCAGAGATTCATTCATATCTTCCTCACTCGTGAATTTTAGGTGAGGATTGTTTGAGTTGAAGAACCTGAGAGTGTTATGAATTTGATTTTCAGAAAGAGCTAAGAATATGTCATTAACATCGTTCAATTAGGGGAATATCATATTCTGAATCATTCAAACAGAAATCACAAATGAAAATTATCGAGGAGGGATACACACGATAAGATGAATATTTCAAGATGAAATTTCAAAACATTCATCTCTCTCAACTACCTAAACAGTAGGCTCTGGTAAATGTCGGAAAACAACTACTTTCCCGGTTAATACGACGCTGTATATTGAATTATATCGGACAGCTACTTTGTTCACGAGATGGAGCTGTTTCATATATGTATCGGAGCTGCATTGAAATTAATTGACTACCAGGCACTTTGCTGTCTGGGTAGAATCTTTCCTGTACTGATGAGAAGTAATACCTCAAAACCGCGGTTTGAAGGTGATCTACTTGAATAATTTAAGCATGGCCCTGCTGCAAATTTAAGTAAAATGAGATTTTTTTGTCTAAAGTTGTATATTGTATAATTTCACTCCAATAATACACTGGATGCTTAGAACCATTGATTCTTGCTTCCATTCTTTAATTTTAGATATACTGGAAAAAGGAAATGAAAGAGAGAGAGAGAGAGGTTGAATTTTGAGTTTTAACCCCCTTTTAAATCCTCTACAAATGTTTTATGAATATTAGTGGTCAAATGTATTATCTATCTGTTTACCATCGTTTTCATTTCCAGGAGCAATACAAAGATTTAGACTTATCTGAAGTATGTGATTATGTGAAAGTTGGAGTGGAAGCTATCATAGAAGATCAAGTAACGTCAAGGTTTGAAGCGGAAGAACTGAAAAACTGGAATTTACTGATTCGAACAAATAGAGGATACGAATTCATATCATGGAAATTGACTGTCATTTGGATATGCGGATTTTTCATCAGATATTTTTTCTTATTTCCTTTGAGGGTTATAATATGCTGCTTTGGAGTGAGTTACATTTTTATTTTTTTTAAAACTTGTTGATTTTCATTTGTGACCTGTTTGTATATTGCAGTTCCTATTCAACTTTTAATATACTTTTTTTTCATTTTTACGTATATATGAATATGTGGGATGTCATTTGAAAAGTTCATTTTAGTGTTTGCTGTTACTGGAAGTAGACTCAGAGAAATATGATGGATGAAGAAAAGAGAAATGAAACTACTAACGTTACTGCAGTTTCGTCCTATACGGACATTTTCAAACTTATATATTAATATAATATAATTATAGTTCATTGCATAAGTTTGAAAATGTCCGTATAGTACGAAACTGCAGTAACGTTAGGTACAAATAAAAGTGGTAAAAAACATAAAAAGTTTCATTCATCTTTTCTTCATTATAATTTTCTACCACGTAGTAACGGCTACATCCATCAATTTATTGAAATATGATGGAATTGGCCGATACTTGATGAAAATTCATAACTAACGTATTCAAAAAACACTTTATTGTGAGATTTTCACTAAACAGTATTACAAAAAGCAAAACGTGTTTCGCCATACAATGGCTTCTTAGGGCTTGCCTTTACTAACTATATTCTACATATTCAGTGCTTAATATACCTAATTTTACAATTTGTAGTACCTACATTTCAAGTACCTGAGTTTTACTTACGTTGTAATGAATTAAATTACCTGAGCTTATGTCCCAGTTTCCACATTTGAAAAAATATTCAGTAACGTGGGAGTTATTCAGTTCTAATTGATCATTCAGTAAATTACCCGAATTCTTGAATTTATTAATTTCTAAACATTCTAGAAGATTGAGTTTCAAACCTTCTAAATGTAATTAATACGTCGTATTCATGATTAAACTGATGTCCTTCTGATAAAAGGTGGTTTGCAAATGTAGAATTGGTTTCTTTATTTACAAAACTACTTCTATTCTATTTATATCTTTGGGAAAATTTTCTTCCTGTTTGGCCAATATACAGTTTTGGGCAAGAGCTGGAATTGACATGTCAATTCCGTCCACCCGTCAATAAAATTCACCACTGAAAGGGAGGTAAATAATTCAATAAATTACTTTCACCTAACCATTACGAAAAATAACAATAAACATGAATTTGCAATTTTCCAGAAACCATCTTACACAGACATTATCATACATAACTCCTCCACACACCCTTACCAGCATAAATTTACTGCATTCAACAGTATGCTTCATAGACTATTAAATATTCCACGGAGTAATTTCCAGAGAGAGCTGAGTTTGAACAAACAAATCGTGGTTATAAGGTAGATATTATAGACTCCATTCTTTCCAAAAAACTACAAAAGCAAGCCATGGACAGGTCTACTCAAATTCAAGATGCGATAATGTCAGTTATAGGACATTGTCATATTTGGGTGAACCCACCATTAATATTGCCCATTTTTTTAAAAAGAATGCGTAAACATAGCTTACAGAACGAATAATAGTCTAAGTAAATGTATTAAAAACAATGAAGACAAAACTTCAGTGTTGGATAGATCAGGAGTATATAAGCTGAATTGTGTCTCTTGCCTAAAACTGTATATTGTATATTGGCCAAACATGGAGAACATTTTCCCAAAGAATTAAAGAGCATAGATGTAGTTTTGTGAGTAAAAAGACCAATTTCACAATTGCAAACCACTTTTTAGCAGAAGGACATGAGTTCAATCATAAATAAGACGTAATACATTTAAAAGAGAAAAGTTTGAAACTCAATCTTTTAGAATGTTTAGAAATCAATAGATTCAAGAATTCGTGTAATTTATACTAAATGATCAATTAGAACTGAATAACTCACCGTTACTAAATATTTTTTCAAATGTGGAAATTGTAATTTAATTCATTACAACTCAGGTACTTGAAATGAAGTTAATATAATTTATAAAATTAGGTATATTAAGCATTGAATATGTAGAATATAATTTGTAAAGACATGCCCGAACAAGCCACTGTATGGCGAAACACGTGTTGTGTTTTTGTAAAACTGTTCAGTGAAAATCTCACAATAAAGTGTTTTTTTAATACGTTACACTCTGAGAAAATGTTGTATATTGAATAATATCAGCTTTCTAAGTTAGCCAATATTTATGTCGCCTCTTGAAGATTAGTTATTATAATTTTTTTGTTACATATTTCCAGTACTTGTTCGAGTACTTCTTTTTACTACTTTTTAGCTATTGGCGGCTGAATAGTCTTGAGAGATTATCGCCTTCTGGCATTTTTCAATAACTTTCACTGTGAATAACCCCCAAACTAGAATATTTATAAGCACCCATAACCGCCTAAAAGTCTCTATCCTCAACACAGTACACAGCTTATTCTGTAGAACGTTAATATACCTCAACAATCCTGGAATAAGTTCGAAGAATCCTTTTTTGAATCAGTTTTTGAGGATTGTCGAAGGGCACAAGCTTAATATTTGTACGGAATTTGGGATGTATAAATGTCTAATGGTCCACTTTATTTTGAGAACTATGCAGGGAACACTGAGAAGACTGCATGCAGAGTTCTTCAATGGAAGAATTATACTCAATCTCAATACTGGAGAGTATTATATTTGCCTTGGCTAAGAATGTAGCTATATTGTGTAGAAAATTCTCTAGATTACTAGAAGAGCTATTTGTACATATTTTACTGATTCATAATTAGTCATCGATCAATAAATGAATTCATCAAATAGATGGGACTAGATTTATGGTTGTAATAATAATGCCAAATATCTATTGTCAAATATAACTGTGTTGAAAAAGTTGAGTTCTGTGATTTTTCAGTGGATATATTCATGAAGTTATCAACCTATTACGAGTTTAAATTTTCAATTCTGACAAGACTGATAATTCGTAGTGTAATTTTGGCCCAAAGTTTTTCATCTTAGATATAAGATTTCAAGTTTCGAGGAAAATGTACCAGTGAGGATGCTTCGGGTTGAAGTGAATAACCAATTAACCAATGGAAACTCTGGAAAGACATATAGAATCTTCAGATCCACATATGAATTTGATATGATACATTAGAAATCTCTTGAACAAATGAAATCAACAAGTGGGTTGAATATTTCCGTAACTGCATTTTCAATAACTATGTTACGATAATTTGTATAACATTCTTCAAATAATAGATCAAATATATCAAACAAGTATTTTAATGAAAAAAAATGAGTCCATAGAAAATATGATGAAAATGACTATAGATTTTTTTTAGGTAGAGGGGTAATCAGTAAATTCAGAGTTTAAATTATATAAGGTTACTCCAATAGTAACAATAATGACATTTCTATTAAGATCAATATTTCAGATATACAATGTAATAGAATAAATGAAAAAAAATCATCCTACATATAAATTTTTCACTGATGACTTCACAACTAATTTGATAAATGACCATTTTACTTATATGGAAACTGCAAACTTTAAAACAGGATATAAATATGTGTCGTCTTGATCCATTTTAAATTTCTATTACGAAAATAGCGAACAATATTATTTAACAGGTAGGCATGTTGATGGTTTCAACAGCCATAATAGGGTTTATGGCAGATGGTGTGTTCAAGAGTTGGCTCAATGAAAAGTTTTATCTAATATGCTTCAGGGTATGTGTCAGATCATTTTCAGGAGTTGTTCGAATTCACAATAAACAGTACAGGCCAACTTGTGGATCCGTTTGTGTAGCTAATCATACTTCTCCGTATGATGTTGTTGTTCTATCCACAGACAACTGTTATTCTATGGTGAGTTCATCTTGGAAGATGGAAATGTAACCGTTGGGCCTATTCTGTTTGGGTATAATCAGTATTGTTGCAGTTATATGGGTTTATATTTTGTGAAGCGGGGTAGAGCTTGTGTGCCTTTGACGTAGGAGCTAAGACAGGTTTTTGTGACTCGACAAAACACTCTTTTTTGTTACAGAGGGTTATAGAAAAGCATGCAATGGTGTGATTGTTACTTGCCTTCATGCATATTCCGTTATTTTACCATCAAGAATAAAACAAAAATCGAACTTAACCTAAAATGTACTAAATGGAAATGTGATTAATTCATAGTTCACAATTTTTTTTCGAAAATATTGTTAAAATTAACTGAAGAAAATTAGGGGTCCTTCTGTTGGAAACTAACAACTATAATAATTCAGTTGTTTTCATATACAGGGCGATAAAACGAAATCATTGTATCGGTGCCATTTAGTTGTTTCCAGGGTAGGAATTTTGATATTTAGTAGGTATAGTTCATTGGAACAGATATTTCTGAAGAAACGGAAAAGGAACCCAAGTCAAGAATTTTTGATATAACATTGTATATATTTTTTGACATTTGATGGAATATAACACAAGTGACCGATTTCTTCCAAAAATGGCACCGTAGGAGCCATTTTCTAGAAATTCGATATGACAGCACTATGGAAATAATATCGCGACAACTTGATATGGTGAGAAGACGAATTTTGCTTGGTTTTAAAATTAAAAATCAAGAATTGAAATTATTCACTAATTCACTTATACTTTTTCACTGGCACAGAAAATTGAATTCCATAGTATTCTTGATATTTTACACTTTAGTCGTAAAGTTAAAAAATTCCATTTCCATAAATAAAACATATTTATGATGGAAAAAATCGAATAATTTCAATATGCACATTTCGTGCATTCATATGCATTATAAAATATTGTTTTGCAAGCCCACTTGAGTAAATCAATTGGTTGGCAATATCTTTTACGAACGTAAATGACGGAAAAAAGTAAAATGAACTTTTATCTGGTCATCAATTCAGGACATTGAGTAAATATTGTGCAGTCACAGTTCTTAATGACTTACAGTGTTTTTTATGGTGTTACAGTTACTGTATTTCAAAAAAATTAATAAGAAACTGCTTTAAAAGCCAAAACTTTTGGTGGCGGTCTACCTAATCTCTGATTCATTGAATTTTTTTGTTGTCATCGTGGCATGGGGTACGCGAAATCAACTACCAAGCAACCTAGGCTATTCGCAGACCATAAACCATGTAACATTGCAGACTCCACTCAACATCAACCAGGAAAATTCTTCCGGGAACAATTTCTGGTCGAAATAGGGTTCGATTGGGATTCGGGCACTTTACCACTTGCGCCATTTCACTGTCATTTGTGTTAGGGCCAGGAGAGCACGAACGCGAAACTTGTAATTAGAAAATTCATTTGAATTGTTTCTCAGAAATAATCGATTATTCGATTTGTTTCTATTTAAATTCTACCATCACTAAGACATATCAGAATAATTCAGTGGTTTTAATGCAGTTGATTAAATACATCCAAACTGAATTGAAAAAATAATAGAGACATAAATTACAAAATGAAGTTAAAAATGTAATTTAAAAATAAATAATGAAAAGTTCGTCAATTGGTTTGAAATGTCAATTCTTGAATTTTCATTAGAAAATGAGCAAACGTTGTTTGTTGTTGCTGGCTACATCAAGCAGTTTAATATTTCCATAAATGATGAGGTCATAGTGTCGCCATTTAGAATTTAGAGAAAATGGCTCCTACGGCGACATTCTAAAAAGAAATGGTAATTTGTGTTGTATCGCTAAAAAAGGGATTTTGTATTAGATCAAATGGCCAAGCAAAATTTACAGGGTTATTTTCAAAATCCTTGACTAGGGTTGATTTTCTGTTATCGAAATAGGTTTTCAATTAATATTTTGTTAGAAATATCGGCTCTCATGAACTATACTTTAGTTTCGATTTTAAAATTTCTTTATCTACAAACAATTGAATGGCTCCGTATGTGATAGTTCAATATTTTAATTATTGCCAATTCAATAAAAAATATATTACCAATGTTTCATTTATGATTAACGATAGCAATGCTATACACGACATTCTTGTCATTAGTAAGGTAGTCAACAATATTATTTGTAAAAAGTGTAGGTATGTTATTTATAGTTATTGAAATCTATTACAGGTAAAAAAACAGTACCTACCTAATTGTTTCAACCAGTTGAATATTGAAGTGACCTTTGCTATAATTCATTTATTTGTTTGTGGTGCTTTTTGTAATTGTTAGTTTTTGCAAAAATTGCAGGTTTTGTGGTTGACTTTTTGTACTACTCTCGTGGGTTACATCGAACCAGCTGATTTCAAACAAAAGGTTAACAAGTATGTGTCTCTAATGTGCTTCGGAATTCTGTCTAGGGCAATTTCGGGAGTTATCACATATCACAATGAAGAAAATAGACCGAAAAATGGGATATGCGTTGCAAATCATACTTCCCCAATTGATTGCCTTGTATTGATGTGTGACAACAACTATTCTATGGTAGGTCGAATTGATGCTTTATACTAATTTTTTTAATATCTACTTGGAATGGCTTCATTTTCGAGCAGGAACTTCATTTTTGTGCAATTCCAACAGAATATCCAACTTAAAATTATTTTAGTCTTTATACATCGCTGGAGTTTAAAATAATACTTTAGCGACAAGTTTCATTCTCAGAATAGGAAGTATGGGTATTTTAGTAGTATTTTGTATAAAGTATAATTCATATATAACGACTTCTCTTTTAACGACTAACCGTTTTTAGCGACGATAATGTTTACTCGACTTGAGTTTCATACTTAGATATTGAGAAAATATAACCGTTTAGTGCGATTCCGGTTTAAACGACCAACTGCTTTTAGCGACCATTTTTGATGATAAACCGGTTAAAACATCATTATGTCATCTTCATTTTCTTCAGGTTGGAAATGTTTTCCCCTACCCTTTCAACTGTCTTTCGTCAGGAGGACGAGTGGTTCATAATTGAAGGTGTTTTTTTGGTGACGACATAAAGATCAATGATCTCTTTGCCGTCCTGGCCTTCCTGTACCCCTTCCTGACTGGGGTATTTGATGAACAAACTGTTCATTTTAACAGACGTCGTAGGGCCTTCACTCAACCGAGTGACGGGGCCTTCTGTATCGGGAGGGGTCGTCTATAGTATACAGCTTCCCTAACTTATGGGTTATCATGAGTTTCCGCTGACTCGAAAACATTCTGATTCCTCGACTGATTGGACTGTCGTTTAGTTAACAGCTTCAAATCTCTGCGGATGGCTTCATTCCGCACGAACCATGGAGCATTCACCAACATCCTAAGAAGTTTGTTTTGCAGTCTTTCCAAAATGGAAAGATTTGACGGAGCGGTTTGTCCCCAGGCGCCTGTAGCATACATGATGATAGGCTTGAACATCGTATTGTATAGTAGAATCTTATTTTTAAGATTTGAGTTTCTGTTAATCAGAGGATAGAGTTTTGCTATCCTCAACTGCACTTTGCTCTTGAAATAATCAATTTGATTTGCCCAGGTGAGTCGGCGATATACCCACAGACCTAGGTACTTAACTCGCGTTTGCCATTCGATCTCCCTGCCTGAAATCGTGACCCTTGTGCCTGGAGAAACATTACGTCTCCCCAAGTCTATCGCCTGGGTTTTATCTGGATTCACCCGAATCTTCCAGTCAAGGTACCAGCGTTCAAGGTCATCCAATGCGCGTTGCATGTAGACGACCGCCAACGCTTGACCCATGGAAGAAGGGAGGAGAGCCGTATCATCGGCGTAAAGGGAAACCTTCACGTGATCGAACCTCGGAAGGTCGCTCACGTAAAGGCTGTACAATAGTGGAGACAGCACAGCTCCTTGAGGCACTCCAGCCTGGATTTTCCTGACGGGAGACAGGGTTCCTTCAACTCGGACCTGAAATGTTCTGTCTTTCAGGAAGGACCTAATCCATCGGATCAGGCCCCGAGGCAGGTCGAAATCGAGCATTTTGTGTAGTAGGCCTTCATGCCACACTCGGGGTTAAAACATCGCGCAATGTTTAGTTTACACAACCTACGCATCAATACCAATACAATTGAAGTAAACATTGCAATATTACACCGATTAGAAGCCGGTTAATCAAATGCAGCCCTCGCAAAGTTTGGCGTATCCCATTCTACAATATCCACAAATAAGAAGAATAAAGATCAAGCCGCTATTTAATGCCAATGTATTAAAATACAAACGTGTAAGGACTTCTACTCATGGGCAGTTGGATAAGCCATTGTTACAGTGGTTCAAGCTTCAGCGCGACCGGAGAATACCCGTTAATGGATAGCTACAAGAGATAGCAAACTTTTTTGCTAGACAGTTAGACATGAAAAATTTCACATGTTCCATGAGTTGGATAAACCATGTTAAAGTAAGATACAACATCGTCAGTGATAAGATTGCTGGCGAGTCTTTGTATTTGGGCGAGGGCTATTCATAGGCATCAGTTACTCATAACAGTCAAGGACTTTGAACAATACGTGTGTGTCGATGATGTCCGATGATATCAATTCCAACAGCTAAATAAAATATTAGTGAACTAATGTACTCTTTACAAACGTGTAAGGACTTCTACTCATGGGCAGTTGGATAAGCCATTGTTACAGTGGTTCAAGCTTCAGCGCGACCGGAGAATACCCGTTAATGGACCTCTGCTACAAGAGATAGCAAACTTTTTTGCTAGACAGTTAGACATAAAAAATTTCACATGTTCCATGAGTTGGATAAACCGTGTTAAAGTAAGATACAACATCGTCAGTGATAAGATTGCTGGCGAGTCTTTGTATTTGGGCGAGGGCTATTCATATGCATCAGTTACTCATAACAGTCGAGGACTTTGAACAATACGTGTGTGTCGATGATGTCCGATGATATCAATTCGAACAGCTATATAAAATATTAGTGAACTAATGTACTCTTTACTACTAATAAAAAAATCATGTAGGTTTATGAAAAATAAAATTGATTTTGAAAAAAATTAAACCACGCCGCCCATACCATACAAAGAAACCGCCGACATTCGGTAACTATTTAGTTTTTATGCCATTCGGTAACTATTTAGTTTTTATGCCATTCGAATTGACTTCGTATATACTATACTTAAGAAATAATCTTGCCGTTTTGTGCGTCGTTTGGTTAGTACGATATAGTATATCTGGTCCCTTGAAGGTCGTTATATTCGGATTCTACTGAGTATAAAAAATATACCCATATAGTATATATGGCATAAGGCTGAACAAAGTACATTTTTGATCAATTTCGAATTTGAATAATTTTAAAATTATGAATAACTGTCACTTATAAAAATCAATAACTCTTGTCTAACTGATGAAACTATCCTGTAGTGATACGCATCTTGAATTGAGTTTATTATGAGCAATTATTATCACGGATAATGAATTATTTTAATTTTTTCAATAATGTGTGGGATTGTAAGATGTCTTGCAAACCTTTTATGTATTTGGAGACTCTTGAGGTTTACTTGTTAGGAGCTCATTGACAGTTGAAACCATTTTCAATTGACTTACATCTTTTATTTACATACTTTCAGTTTTATGAGATGACTCACCTTTTTACTAAAATGAAAAGAAAATTATTTTATGGTTATGGAAAAACAATTTGAAATCAGAAACTCGGAATTTGTTCTGAACAAGAAAATTTAAATACCCATATCAAAATCTATGTCATTCATGAAATTGTAATTAGTGTTGAACATATCTTTGTTACATTTTTTCTGAAGTTGGAGATATTCAATGCCATAGATAATAATACAAGGTCTATGTGAGACTGTTTATGGAAAATATTATTGAGTAGGTATACTGTTTTTGTCACACGATACAAAAAGTCTGGTTTGGTAACAGTGTAGAAACTCAACTTGTATTATTACTATTTACTCAAGTATTTAAATTTAGTGCTAACATCTGTGTATTCATTGTGTACCATTCACTTATTTCACTTTCGTTTCTGCTTTTTATGGTTTATCTGCTTGGTAGGTTGAGAGTAACTGTAGTATCCAAAACCAAAACTGGCTTTGTCAGTTTTTTTTATGAATATTACAATTGAATTGCCATGGATACAACAGATATTCAAACAGGTCGCGCTTTTGAGTGATTTATTTGTTAGTAACATCCTAATGATTTATTTTAATTTTGATATCTTAGTAAATAATTATTTTTGTTATCTTGATAAGAAAATATAAATGCATTGAAGTAATCTGCTACAGATAATCTATGTTCGACGTGAACTCTCAGCTTTGAGAGGCTTTGAGATACTTTGTCTTTAACATTTAAATAAGTCTCAACTTATTATCAAATAATTATTGTTCAAAATATTTATCATACAACTGAAATTGCTATCAATAAATGAGAACTATTGGATTTCTCATCTTCTAGTATACAATCTCTCCAGTGGAAATAAGTAAAAATAGAATGTTTTCTGATAACTGAACCATTAATTCCATTTGAATGGATTATAAGAGGATTTTAAACTGGAATGAATTGTAAGCAAAATCAAATATTAAAAAAATTCCATTCAAATTATTTTTTGTAGATACCTACAAACTATTTTCAAATAGACTTTCTGACCTTATTGTTTGAATATTTTCCCTCGTTTCCTTTTCGGATAAAAGATTTGAATTAATTCCTTATTATCCGTTGTTAATTTTTAGTATTTGCATCAAAGTAATATTTCCCATGTGTAATAGAAATAGCAGTTTAATTCAGAATAAAGCATAAAATTGTTTCCTCTTTCACATTACCATAATTGACTTGAACTGTTTTTATATTCATGGCATGTGATTGTGAATTGTTGAAAAGGTATATGGCAATTATGTTAGTATTCACTTGGCATTTCACATTCGCAACACAAATATTTCTCAACTGCTTTGGTTGATAATGTTAACCTTTCGAATACTTAGATTGCATGTAGGTTTCCATTCCAGTTAAAAAACGTGTTCGATCACTGCAAATTATCTCAGTAAAATATACTACAGTATATGCTGTAAGTATATCCCAGAAATTGCACATTAAAATATTAGGCTTTGTTATTCTTTACCCGCTCAAGTTTAGTCTTCTGAAGGTTGCTTATTTAAATTTTCTTCATTTGCAGATATATTGAAAATTTGTTTGATTTTGCTATTGGAAATTTCATTGTAATATCAGGGTATGATTGTAAAATTTTTATACGAGGTGTCATCAGACTTGAGGCACCCTCAGCTTAGAAATTTCAAATACGTCGGAACCTAACCTCGAGAAAGATAAATTCTTCTGCAGTTTGAGGTCCACCAACGAGAATTTTCAATACTGACTGTCACCTGACTAGAACCGAAATGAAGGGTAGACGTACGTTCTTGGAAGCTGTACGGCATGGTAAAATCTCACTGGAAAATTGAAAATTCATGATATCATCACAATTTCAGGCGCTAGGAAAAATTTTTGAGGATGAGGTGTGGTACTTAAAGAGAATATTCTATTCAAGTGATTATTACAGCATAATAAAAAAAACTTATTTGATGATCATCAAATTACCGAAACACCGAAATAACTTCAATTTCACTATATTACCGATAAAAAAATTACCTAAAAATACAGGTACGTATTCAAAATTTCAAAGTAGGAGGTACCCCATGTCTGACGACACCATTTTAAAAAATTCAATTGTGTAAATAGATTTTCAATATCTCCGCGAATAGTGAGGCAAATAAGCTAGAGTCGATTTTTCCGCCTCATTCAATAGTACCTCAACATAGACAATATTGCCTCAATTTAACTGACTTGCCAGAATTTAACCTCATTCGCCATTCACGAAATTCTTAAGTATAGAAATTCTGATAATGTTGCCGATTATATATTTAATCTCATGGTTAGGTTCCTACCAGTGAGATGAAATTTTATATTGTTTTGAACCGTTGAAAAATGTATGATTATGACTAAATTTCATTCTATTCTATATTGGTATGTTTCGAAAGATTATCAAAAACCATATTCATTTTCATAGTATTTGGCTAAATTCAGTTTGTATTTATTAATTCATAGCCATTCAGTTCTATGAAAAAATCTCACATTTGAGAACTTTAAATTTTTTTGTAAATTATATTCAGATTGGACAACGACATGGTGGTTTCTTAGGGATTTTCCAAAGGGCTCTTGCTAGAGCTTCTCCCCATATATGGTTTGAGAGATCGGAAACTAGGGATCGGCATGCTGTAACAAGCAGGTAATTGAAAAATGATTTTAATTATTACTGAAATGTCAGATATGATATTTCTTTGCTGAAGGTGAATGAAGAATATATTTTTATTGGTAATAACAATAAGTTATACTAATTCCATTATGAATTTTTCAGATTGAAAGAACACATTTCAAATCCCAAAAACCCTCCTATTCTTATTTTCCCCGAAGGGACTTGCATTAACAACACTTCTGTTATGCAGTTCAAGAAAGGAAGCTTTGAAATTGGAAGTGTCATTTATCCAGTTGCCATCAAGTATGATCCAAGATTTGGAGACGCTTTCTGGAACAGCAGCAGGTAGTAAATATTTGTCTTCTATTTTTCTACCTTCCAGGTCCACTTCTTCATGATATGATTCTTCAAATCTTCAACATTGTATATCTTCATTATCAATTGTCATGTTTTTGACCAAAAGCCTAACCCTGGTTCTTTCTGGTAATAACTCATTTCTCAAGCGATTTGCAGATTAGTTTTGATAAATTACTGTAAAAAATACTTCTGTACATGAACGATCTGATCTGTGAAAAATATTTGCGTTTTTAGTCATCAAAGTGTCACAGGCACATCTATATTTTGAAGTATATAAAGGGTGGCGCACCCTGTATATAGATCAAGAAAAAATATGATTTCATATAAGGTACTATGTCTCTAACTGTAACCGTTCTCGAAATATTGAATTTTTAATGAAAATGCTAAGTTAAATTGGAAACTGAATAACATCGAAATGTATAGAAATCATCCCTTTGAATTATGACCAAGCATAAAAGAGGTTTTGTTCTATTGATTTTGATAAAACCCGTTTCTCAATATTATACAGAATGTTCAAAAATCATTGTCATTTTTTTATAAATTCGGACAAAGATAACTTTATTTCAAATAGAACACCCTGTATTTTTTTGGTCTGAAGAATATAAAATATACCTAGCCTAATATTTTTTCAGATATTGGCTTTTTCAAATAGTAGTTTTTATTTCAATGCATTCTTTGAATCAAGATAGTTTTGAAACGAAATTTATTTGATTTGCTCACATAATTCTCATTGACAGTTGTTATACTTCATTTCATCGAAAATATTTACTGTTCAGTAAAATGAAGTTATCATTTACATTCATTACAGTAGTTCATTAAACAGACTACAATTTTTTTATTATTCAACTGAAACAGCAACAAAATATGAAACACAAACGTATTGAATTCAAAATAGATGCTCGAAATGACGACCATCCTGTTGAACACAAAGATTCACTCTCTCTATGAAAGACTGCTTAACATTTAATCAAATTCGAGGCGCTACTCTTCGAAAAGCAGCCCTTATTCTCATTCATATTTTCCAGTGTGATTGGAGGAGTGTCATAAACCTCATTCTTCTTCTTCAAGTATCCACATATGAAAAAATCGAGGTAAGTCAAATCTGGTGATCTCGCTGGCCAATTTTGTGGTCCACCCCTACCAATCCATTTATTTGGAATCATTCTCACTAAACTTGTATAGAACCCATAGATAAAACTCTGTTCGTCGATGGAAGTCTATTTCAAATAATTCCTGGTGCATATGATTACGGTACGGGTGAAATTTGTATTTTTTCATTACCCTAGAAATGCCCCGTCTGCTCATCTATGTATCTTTCTTGATCTTACGTTGACTAGTATGAGGGTTTTCTATGACTGATCCCATAATAAGAAATTTATTTTTCTCCTTTCCAATGATAGGTTTTGGTATATTTGCCGTTTCATAAGCTACACTTCCAGTCCTACGAAATTTATGCAGCAATAATTTCAAAACCAACTTGTTTGGATGATTACGGTCTGGATATTTTTGGGCACACACCATCGACGCCAAAAGACAATTCTCTAAACACTCTAAATGTTGTTTCAAAGCTACCTTGATTCAAAGAATGCATCGACATAAGAACTACTATTTGAAAAAGCCTGTATCTGAGAAACTATTTAGGTTAGGTATAGGAAACCCCAAAATGAAAGATAATTAAATTTTATATTATTCAGACCAAAAAAAAACAGGGTTCTATTTGAAATAACAAAGTTATCTTAGTCCGAAATTATAAAAAAGTGACAATGTTTAAAATATGTTTTTTCCGTTAACCAGCTATCGAATTCCTGCGAACGACAACACTCAGAAGTCGAAATTTGTGCGACCTAAGGACTAACGAGATCTTACTTTTTAACGTGTGATTCCTAACACGGGTTGGACGATAGCAAGTGAAAATCGAGCGTTCAGCCTGGGGCTTGAACCATCAACTCACACGTCGGCCGATTGACTATATGAATAAATCACCAACGTCGAACCACCCGGCTACCGACCGCCGGTTTTGAACATTCTGTATAATATTTAAAAACGGGTTTTATCGAGATTAATGAGCCAAAATCTCGTTTATGCTTGGTCAGAATTCGAAGGGATGATTAAGTTTCTAATTGTACCTAGCATTTTCATAAAAAATCAATATAGTTAGGTACATAGTACCTTTTATGGAATAATATTTTTTGAACCACCCTGTAGACTCCAAAATAATTTCCTTTTGCAGCCTTAATAGGTACATAGTACCTATTGAGGTACTTAGTACCTTTTATGAAATAATATTTTTTGAACCACCTTGTAGGCTCCAAAAGAATTATCTTTTGCAGCATTTATTGATATACATATAATGAAATGAAGTAACTCCCGAAAAAATTAATGATTTGGTTTACAGGGTCTGTGTCTTATGGGGTGACCCACCCTATATAGTCAGATATGTAATTTTTGTCACTTGTCAGTTACTACAGTTACATCAAAGCGTGTTTCAATAGAGTTTCGAACATAAAAAGTAATATAATTATTTACACGACTTCAGGTATACCTATTGAAGTCTATTGAATAGTGGGTTAGTTAATCAGTTTCAGTCTAGCATCTGATTGTTCTGTTCTTGAGGATTCAAGGTCCACTAATATGACTATGTGCTAATAAGTAAAATATGTGTATCCTATGTATAGTTAATTCAATTTTGATTATGAAAGGTAGCCTTCCCTCAGCTCAATGGTAACCTACATAAAAAGTATAACAGTCCATTAAATTAAGGAATAACAATCAAGAGCTATAAGAGATATATCCAAATCGAGCACTTTTCCTTATCACCAGAAATGAAGAGTATTGCCTTTCTAGTAATTGGGAAAAGTGCTTGTTTTGGATTCACTAATGACACTGATTGATAATAAGAAAATGTTTTATTTGCCGTATCCATCACAAAGTGTCCGTTTTTTCACTTTTTAAATATTTCTGGATTTTGCTTTTTATTTAAATAGTTTCTAATGAAGGCATTTACGTAACCCATACATCAATTTATCTCTCTCTCTCTTACCTTCTCATCATAATCTGGGTTTCCTATATTTTACATTTCAGGTATTCCATGTTGCAATATCTTTACATGATGATGACAAGCTGGGCTATAGTCTGTGATGTTTGGTACTTACCTCCAATGCACCAGCAAGAAGGTGAATCTGCAATAGATTTCGCGAACAGGGTAAAAAGTGCAATTGCCAAGCAGGGAGGATTGGTAGATATGGTGTGGTAAGGAAGTGAACATTTTTTCATAATTAATCTTCATTGATATGCATTTGGAAAATGATTGAACAGCTGAGGCTCATCACATAATGACATTTCTTTCTATCAGAAACTTGCAACTGATGTTTTTGAAGTTTGCAAAATAAAATAACACTCTGATCATACCATCAATATGAAGAATAATACATAATAGGACCAGAGACATCATTCTGGAAAATTGTATTGCAAAACTCAGGGATGATCATAAAAATATACTGCTACTCAGGGATCCCAAAAACATGTTTAATTATCTGAAAAGAATTGAATGGTCCCCTTGCGATAAACCGCCACCAACTAGAGATGTGCAAGAATTAGTGAGGGCCTGTCGAGGAGACAGATCACAACTGATAATTGGGTGTGACGCCAATACACACTACCTGAGGTGGAGGAGCAATGTTACAAACTTTGAAGAGTTGGTAATGGACTTTAATCTCGAGAACATGCTTGGCAGAAACGAATAGTATTGCCTTACAGCTAGCTATTCGCTTGTTAAATACACATTTGTGTTTCAGTTGAAGCTATATGTAATTTTACAATGCACAAGGAATATTGATTCGAGGGCTCGATAAAATGAGCAGGATAGATATTTTTTCAGACAGACAGGCTACTCTTGAAAAACCCAAGGGTCATTTTGAGGTTAGTCTGGGAATGTTGTGAAGAACTCAAGAGATTAGCAGACAGTATTAGATTCACTCTCTACTGTGTGCTAGATAAAAAACATCCACTGCGGCGGCCATGTTTCGTGACCTAACTAAGACCTTCGATTGTGTAGACAACATGCTACTTCTTTGCAAGCTAGAAGTTTACGGATTTAGAGGATCTGCATTACTTTGGTTCGAGACGTACTTTTCTCATCGGCGGCAGAATGTTATATCAGATGGAATTTCATCAGAGGAACGTTTCATTAGCAGTGAGGTCCCACAAGGTTCCGTTTTGGGACCGATGTTGTTTCTCATGTCAATGTCAATGACTTAGTCCTACAAAAAAGATCCATCAGATATTTACGCAAGGCTAGCTACAGGGATTCATGCCGCCCATTATTTGTGAAGCAAACCATTCTGACCTCAGTACGTCTTTTTATTTTGGAAACAGTGTGTCTTATTCACAAAAAATATAAAAATCAATTTAATACCACCACAACTTATAGTACACGTCAGTCTTACTTCATTTCCCTTCCAACACCTTCTCTAGCCCTTACACCAAATTCTATTATTTTCAATAGCTATTCAATAGTTATTTTATCACCTTCCCATCAATATAAAGCCCTATTATAGTGTGGACGAATTCTACCAAGGCTCTATCGAGTAATTGGAATGTAGATTTGTATAAACATGTTATTGAAGTCAACACGAAATGGCTATCAATGTTCATTACGTAGCATTATATATTTACATTTACTCAATATTCATATATTCATGTACTTATATTTGTATCTGTTCAGCTGGGCATAATATTGTTTTGTCTATACTCTGCTCTTGTCTCTAAGCATTATTTTATAATTTATATTTGTTAATAGTCCCATATACACGTTTTACTTTACTAGACTTTGCCAATAAGATATTCAGATCTTGGGTAATAAAGCAGCATATTTTGATTTGATTTGAACTACATATTGGCCCTGAACAGTTATGAAGTATGATTCCAAGTAATTGGAATTATCTATGTTTCGGTATTCTATGTCAGGTTAAATTCACCTGAATCATCAGATGTAATTTTCGCCACCACTTAGCTAAGCCCTTGTGATAGGCGTGGCGAAATCCACCCCCGCCAAAGATGCAGGTACACGGAGGGCTTAGAATTAAAAATAAAAAAATCTTTTTTTTTTTTATTGATGCAGTTTATCAAGCAATACAAATTCCACTGTAATGGAAGAAATATTTCAGATCATTAAAAATGACTGTGTGTGAACTATCTGTCTACAAACAAAAAGCAGTCGTCTATGTAAAAATCTTAGATTGTAACTTCAATGAAGCTTGCCCTACTGTGTACTAATGGGTGATGAATTGAGATAGTGCTAGACACAGGTGATAAACCTTTACCCTCCATACATCTCCCCTTTAGTTGACAACAACAGAATTTTTACATCTTGGATGTTATTCACAAATCTTATAACCAAAAAGTATTACCTGCAATTACAATTGCATATTGTTAGTGTTAGTTTTTATTTGTTATAAACAAATCTCACAACCATTGCCTGTTGCAGAAACTGGTTTAATTAAAAAGTTGTATTTGAATATCTCTTTTACTTATATTAATGTATGATACATTTTATGTTATAGTAGGTTTCAGGCCTATTAGGTACTTTTCTTCTGATTATATATTTTATGATTTACTAATTTCTCAAGTAGATCAATTGTCTGCAAACATGGTTTGAGATTGATAACAGAGGTTGATGTACTTGTATAAAGTACATTGATCACCCTATCTTCGGCATTTTTCATTACTGCTGTTTATCTATTCATAAATATATTTTTGTTGAAATTGAAAGGGTTATATTTTTAGGAGTGTTGAATTTTTGGGACAGAAAGTTTTTGGCTCCATACTTTTGTTAATTATAACTATATTTTCATGGGAAATAAATATGTACCTATTATTATCATTATTCTTAACTCCTTGATATTCCAACCTTTATTACAATTTCAAATTAAGGCTTAGCTGCTCTTTAATAAACACAATGTTGCCCTACATTGAAATTACAAACAATGTAACAGAAATTTCAAAACGTTTTTCAGAAACCTCGATATTAAAGGGTGCAAATTTTTTAAACTCATCAAAATTGGCATAAATATATTATTTCAGTCATTGTGCATATTTATAAAGAAATCTTGAAGTGTCTTTTTTAGATTTCAAAATTACATACTATTAGTAAAAATCAGAGAATTTTATTTTTATTAATGTAGGAGTTGCAAAGCTAAGAATGTTAATTATAGGCGTAGCATTGATAATTTTCAGAATTATCTAGAAATATGTACAATTGCTGCGCTAAGGATGTTTTAGATTAACTCTTTTTTTTTTCGTTAGAGACATATCAGCACTTTTGTCACGATTTCTGAATTAAACTAGCATTTTGTAAAGGACATAACTTTTCTCTTTATGAATTTTCTTTTTGAAATTTCACCTCGAAAAATACCAAAATATTCCAATAGTTTCATCCAATTACCTCACTCTTGAAGGCATAATAGTCTTATTCTGAAGACTTCCCTGTCACCAGTGAGGTAACTGTTTCATCAAAGGGATCTGGATAATCATAATGACTCGATAATATTAGTATTATCATTGTACATGTGTTTCAGGGACGGCCAATTGAAAAGAGTTAGAGTTAAAAAGGAATGGAAAGAAAGACAGCAAGAAGAATTTACCAAGAGGTTGAAAGCTGAGTGATAATTGCCTCGCTAAGCTTTAGTAATTAATATACCTTTTAGCCTACTAGTGTAGAAAAATGATTTCACCATTTAAGTTTAGTGATGTGTTTTCGCTAATGTTTGTTAATATTTTTTGTTGAGAGCAGTAAATCTAGTCTTTCGACCTTATGTCATATTTTTCATTTTTGAAATAGATTTTTACAAAATATCATGTGATTGTAGGTTTTGATTTGTGAAAAAGTGGATCGTGATAAGTAGATTAATTCAAATGCTAATGCGCAGTGTTGACTATATTTAATTTAAAATATTCAAACCTTTTCCTTTTGAACTTATTATTTGCCTTTTTTGTAATAGATTTGTTTTAATTATTTATTTGTTTAGCATAAATAAAATGATATGAAACGAACTGAAACAGCATTTATTTAATAATATTTTTGTATGAGATTGATGGCGAGACTTTTATTTCAATATTGTATATCAAATTATTTCAAAATGCTTATATTTTGAGTACTCCCTCCTTGATGAAATGAAATCATTTTTATTCAAAAATAATAAAATATATTATTATTCCATCTGGTTATATTTTTTTTAAATGAAACATTTTAAGAATGTTTCAATAATATTTTAGTACAAGATTGAACGTTTATTAAACCACATTTATTTCACAATAAAATCAAATTCCTCAGACTCCATTCCAATAGTATTAGTTAACCTGAAAATGCTATTCTGTAGTGAAACACTTGTTATAGTTTTTAGTAACCTCTTGATTTGAACAATTAAAAAAAGGTTATTCATGGATTTTCATCAGTTTCAGCAATGACTATCAGAATTTATTTTTTTTTATGAAAATATCCTAAACAAATTACTTGATTTTTTGTTTTATTGAATTCAAATTTTTGTGAATCTTCTTGATTTATATGAAGGATAATTCTGTTATAAGATATATTAGTTGTGAGGAATACCCTGTCTTACAAAAGTTGTTCAAGACTCGTAATATAATATTATTGAAGGAATCAAATATTCCACTTTGAAGAGAGTCCAACTAAATTTGTATGAACTTTTCTCAAAGGATAAATTGATAACAAAACAAAAAAGAATGACTATTCAGTGAATAAAAATGTATTTTTGCTTTCCTCTTTGAGTCTTTGTTATTTTGTAATGAAGGCATTGTAAATGTTTTCAAGCACTCTAAGCGTCTTACAATATCTGTATATTTTCGATTTAGAGATTCAAAGTATGAGCATTTTTGCAGTTAGAATTCATCTTTTGTAAATAAAAGTTTCCCCTATAGTTTTATATTGATTCTTGTGTAATAAATGTAATTAATATCTATTCGATTCTCATTCATTGTTCCTTAATAATAATAAACCGAGAACTGAAAAAGTAGGTTTGTAAAGAAAATTTTTCAATTGAAAAAATGTGAATTTTACAGTTGATGCTATCGAGCTTTTTGTATGACTGGCAGGTAGGGTAGGTCCAAAGCGAGTGTACTGGAACCCCCCGAAGGTTTATGATAGCTCACATTTATTTAAACTCGACCAAATGAATCCACTGTTGCCACAGCTACCCCGTACGGAGTAGTTCTACCCCTCTTGAACTCAATTTCCCCCTCTCGCTCCCCTCAGGTAAATCTACCCTGCTCAAATATAAAGCAAAATAATGTAAAATAGAAATTGAAAAAATTGAACAAATATTTGGGGTTTGAATTTGAATCTACCGCGATACACGAGCCAAGTACCCTTGGCAACGTTGGCGTAGACTGAGTGTCTGGCGCCGCTGGCGGCAGTTCCTTAGGTTGTGTCTTACTGTAAGACTCAGATAGTTCTAATATTCTGTGACTGAGTACTGAGTTACACTACAATGCTCTTCTGCTCTTTCAATGATACCTTAGACAAGAATGATACCGAGCGCCGTGATCATGCTCTGTGCGTTGAAATGTTATTTGATGTTTGTGACATGACATTCGACATTTTTAGTTAAAGTTGAGAACGTAAATGTGGAAATGTTTATGTGCAATCTCAGTCTGTGATGTAAATGTAGTTATATGTAGAGTTAAAGTAACCGATATTGTGCACTATTGAAGTTGTCGGCACTCTCAAAGGTCTACATCTCAAGTTTGGTTTCAAGGGAAACAAACTATTACAAGCAACATCAGATTTGACCGAAATTCCTTTCTCAACTGTACGTAAAATAGTCAAAAACAAAACTTATGAACGCAAGACGCGATGTGATTACCAAAACCTTTAAATCTTCATCTAATAAAATCATTGTAAAAACAATATACGACTGTTACAAAATCAATGAGATTCCTACAACTGAAATCATAAGGTGTAAATTGAACACTTCCGTCCAGAACATGAGCTGCTGTGACAAAAGTCTTCAGAATTGGATAAAGAAACTGGGATTTAGATTTAAAATAATAAACAAACGTCAAGCAGTTATGGAAACCAGAAGCATAGTGGAATTGCGAAACAAATACTCGGAACGAATAACTAAATATAGACAAGAACAACGGCAAATTTTCTATTTTGACAAAACTTGGTATAACACTCATGACACACGAGAATGTGTACGCCTAACATGCCTGCAAAAAAAATCGTGACTAATCATTGTGTATTGCAGAGGAAGTAAAGGATGAGCTCTGAATTCTTTGAAATTAAGTGGAAAAAACTTGAGGAGTGCAATATTGACTATCATAAGAACATGGAACCTAATATTTTCGAGGAACGGTTTGAAAACACAACGATCTCAAATTTGGATGCGATGACATGTGACATGTTTTTGATTACGATCGTCAAATTTATCATAGAACAAAGAACGATAATCATAGGCATACGTTAACGCGTCACTGTGATTGGTGTCATCATGTGAATGTGGATCCACCCCGGTTCTACCCCGCTCCCTTTCAGAAATCTACCTCGATGAAAAAGTATCTTGTAGCAACACTGAATCTGTCTGTTTAAAATCTGTTTTTCCGTTAATCTGAATCCATCTTTTTAACCAAGCCGATTACTACATCACTTTCGTGGTAATTTTCTTTCAGATCAGCTGGCAAGAGGAATTCTGTCAAACACTGAAAACTTGATCTGATTCTTGGCGGGACCGGCACCAAGTATGTGCTCTGCTATCAGAGCCTGAATTTACTTGTGAAGAATAATGCACTCCAAGATTGACATACCATAGTATGTTCTTCTCAGTTTAGTGAAGATTGGATCGGTGGTCAGTCTGCAACTACCTTCATCAGGCCTCAAATGTGTGGTCTGTATCCTGTGACGTTTTTCAGGGAGACGCACTCTCATGGTGGTAGGGTACTGTGGCACCCACCAGCCCGAAAAAGCTCTCCTGACTCTTTCAGGTAACCTAACCCCATCTGGGCGACTCTGGAATTGCACCTGCGAGCCATCTTTTTGGTAAACTTTCCCAAATGAAAGAAGGTGAAAGTCAGCTACACTCGACAAAACATTATATTCAGTCTTGCAGTAATTTCCACCTCTTGTTCGAGTGAATCATTGTTTGAGTATAAGTAATTGCTGGTCTGCTTATTGATTTGAAGTATAGTCTAAGCAGCTGAGTAATAAATCAGTTTCAAGTGGCTATTCCTTAGGCATACATAATCAAGTTGGTTAAGAAGTGAAAACCATAGTATTTGTGCTAAACATTCAATGTTGTACGATTTGATATTATAAATCTCAAAATACTTTTTAAAAGTTGTATGCATAAGGTGATTAACAGAAATATGGAACAGTCGTATTGATAATTGTTTATACTTTTAAAATTCGATTTGAATTTTCAATACTTTCTATGAAAATCACTTTTTAATGTATCACATACCTGCACAGCTTATCTGATTAAATAAGGAATACCTGAGATATTTTTAATTATCTCTGAAAACATTGAAGACGCCAACTTGGTACTCAATTTCAGTGATGAAAATGTAAATATTATTAAAATAAATCCATTTTGATTCAATAATAAATATCAACGAATTAATGGTTCATGTGATGTGTTTCCCTGTAATTGATTGATCAGCATTTAATTGTTACTGCATTGTCAAGAGAATTATAGTCTAAATTAACTGGTTCAAAATTTGTGCCACACCAACAGGCCAATGTTCTTCGGAAATAAAATGTTTATTTATTGAACACTGTAGTAACCAATGTTCACACTGCATACCAAAAAAATATATTTATGATTCATTAATAACAGTGTGTTGTTTGTTTTTTGAACAATACTATAAGGAAGTTTCATTAGTCTTGTGGTAGACCATAACCTGTGAGGTGGATTTTTTTTAAATTTCAGAGATGCGAGTTTTGCCATTTACAATGAACATGATATGCAATAGGTTGAGATTCGAAAACTGCATTCGCAGGAAAAAATTATAGAAGTAATTTTCTCATAATGAGAAAATCTATGTTTTTGGGATACTGTAATTTCAACTTTGTGTTCCCACCAGGAGGAACCTTCTCATTGAAAATCACAAAAAACCTCAAAATATTGTTAGTTTTGGCAATTTTTCAATTCAATTTCAATTTTCAAATATAAAATATTTGACCATGTTGAAAAAAATGATAGTTTTTTGACACTCAATGGAAAAGAGGGAAACATGGTAGATCTATAATATCAATTTTGTATGCTTGAAATCTATTTTTATCTGAATTTCCAGATCGTTCTTAGGCAATTTGCGAAGCCACTGAGGCGATGTTCAAGTAGTTGCCAATCTGGTATATGTCACCTTCATTACAGAAATTGCAAGATATTTTTTCACACAATGTTGATTTGATGTTTTATACAGTTTTTGATTTGATATAGACATAGTGATACTTTAAAAGTATGTTGTCATACCTGAAAGTCACATGAATGTCATTGAGTTTCTTGGAAAACTGCGAACTTTCATTATATGTAAGTTAATGAATTTATTGTTGCAAAAGACATAGGTACGTAAGAAAGCTACAAAACGAATAAAAAAACTTATTTATTTAATTTCACATTGTTTATTACCTAGTTGAACTACCTTAAATATAAAGCGAATGCCCTAATTTGTTGCTCTTGCATTCTCTAATTCTTCAAGCTTCTGTTTTTTAAATAACTCCACCAATTCATCAACACTACTTTTATCCAAATTCTCAGGTTCTGATAATTTTTCATTTGGAAAGACAGCCAAGTTTAATGCAGGGTTTCGAAAAGTGAAGGGTGTCCATGGTCCTTGTATAGAAGGATGATCGGTATGAAAAAGTTTACGAATTCTTGTGCCTGTGTGATTTTTCTGCTGAGTTTTGAATAGATTCAACCATTTCATTATTTCTTCCCTGGTGAAATTTCTACAGCTTAGCCATTGTTGGTCCCCATTCACTAACCAAAAAAGTAAATTTAATAAGAATAAAAAAGGATACATTTTTAGTTTGCACATTATTGGTAGATTAAAAAGAAATTGTTTTTCTGAAACATACAGTACAACAGATAACATGAGATGAACATTATTTAAACAGTTGACGAATATCAATCTTGAAATAACATCGATAGATTTATTCTTGAACGATTTGTGGATATCACTATGGAGAGATTACAGATGTACGTGATGCCTTAAATTATTAGTTTTGGAGTGTATAATTAATGCAGGTAATGAAAACGGACGATATTTACAAAAACTGGCAACATTCACACATTAAGGTAAACATATATCTTCCATTTTCACATTGGGATATTGCTTAAACATTTTTCAAAATACATTCATGAAAAATTTGTCAGCATGTTTGATGACATTTTATATGAATACAGAAATACACACTTAGCTTTTTTGTGTTTGAATTTCTATCTAATATTTCACAGGTATCTGGAATATTCACAGGCCTGTGTCCTTCCTTCCAAGGTTGGAAGTACATAATTCAGCTAACTCAAAGGAAATTGGAAAAACTAAAACTCAAATCATGCCACCGTTTTTTAATATGAGGAATTATGTAATTATTCTTGCGAAATGTATGTGGCCACAATATGCTCTCCAATAAATACGAATATATAGGAAATACAAATAGATACATAAATAATTGTCTTTCACATAATAGTATTTTTCTATGACCATGAAAGGATCAATTATGTGAGTTTCCTGTTGGGTTAGCAGACAAAATATTTCATAATTCTCACCTTCAATCTAATCAAAATATGTCAAACTTAATAAATGAACTGATGCTTTATTTTGAAATATATATCTGATTTTTAACAGAAAACAGAAATGAAAACATGGACTCGGAAAGGGAAAATGAGTGTACTCCACCAGAAATTTGTAATGTGGTGATGAACTTGATACTTTTCAAAAGTTCGTCACCCATTTGAAAAAAATTACATTTATTTGAAACTAAAATAGCTTTGACACACTGATTTATAAACTGCTTCGTGGAGTAACTGTTAGAATGCTGGATTTGGTTGCCAGCGGATCTTTATAATTGGCTGCACTGAGCTGACGAAACTAATAGCTAGATACACGTGTATGCAGTGTGCCTCTTCTCTGAGCGCTCCTCTTCTTTATTAAGATCAAATACACTTGTTGATATCTTTCAGTATTTATATTCCAGGCTCCAACGTCACACAGGCAGCTATAACTGCCAACGTGGTCATGTTACTTGTTACCTAAAAATGCTGGGTTTCCTAACTTTAAACCACAGTTGTGAAGTTAGCTCCTGTTGGTGACCCTTGCATCTTTACACTTGGCTGCATGTGACCCAGGTAAATTATTATCACCATTTATAATTATTACCTTTCAAAATTTGTTAGAACATACATGACTCACGCATCTGCTTTGTGAAATATACCATATATGAAAGTAATTTTCTTTCTCATTACTGATATATTTAAACAGTGTGGCCATTGATTCCAACAAAAATGATCCTAAACCAAACAGATATAATATAATCAGGGAAAAATCCTTGTTGTTTTCATCTCAATTATGCAAACATTATATTTAGTTCAATTCAAGTAACATTGGACTGAATCTATGAGTGTAAACTAAAAATTTTGTTATAATTTTTGAAATAAGAAGGACGCAAGTTGTTTCCTATACTGGCAAAATAATTTAAAGTTCAAATAAAGCATATTTTCCGCCTATCAATAAAAATAAACTGTCTGCCTGTTATTCCCTGTTTGAATAAGTTCATTGTCGAGTCTTGTTATAGACATTGAGAATAAAAAATACTAATTATCATCTTACAATATTCAGCCTTCATCACTGCAGTTCGATGTCTTCGAGGTTTTAAATAAACCACAATTCCTGGATTTTCTTTGGCAAAATTCATCAAGTCATATTCAATAAATTCTCTGAAATAAAACAACTATTAGTTAAATTCATTTTAGAAGTCTACCTACTTACCTCATTCCTCTACTAGATCCATTATTTTTACAAAATTTAAGCACTACCCTTTGGAGCTGAATAACATATCGACCTACCCCATTTTGTAAGGGGACATTTATGAATCCAGGCTTCAGAAACAGTTGACTATTAGACATATTTTCTTTCAGTAGAACCAGTTATTTATACGTTTTTACTTCATGAATTGATATAACCTATATAAAATCTTTGGTTAAGTTGAATTGTGGCTACTCTTGCGTTTAACGTAAATTCTTTTAATGTCGGTGACTAGTCGCCTGTTAGCGTGTACTAAATTGGAGAATAGATTTCTGGGCACTGAGAAATTAAAAATGAATGAAATTTAGGAATTATGGTTCTCATGAAATCATAAATGTAGGTATACAGAGTTGTTAAAAAAGATTGATTTTTTAGTTTTGATCTCTTTCAAAATCTATTGATTGCTTTTTTCGTGTGGAAACTAATTGAAGAAATTAAAAAAAAAAACAGATTTTAGAATAATGGTTTGAACAGTCATGCACACCCACATTTACATTTCTGATATATAATTCATTTCATTATTTTGGCTATTTTGTAAGATGGAATAATAAATGAAGTTGAGTCCTCTATTACCGGAAAGCTATCTTTAAAATATCATGATACCTGCTTTCTCTTGGTAACATACCTTATGAAGAATGAATGAATTTACAGGTTTCATCTGAAGCAATATTAGAAAGAGAAAAGTTTTATTTGCTTGTATATATGTAGAGGATTCAACATTCAAAAACTCGTTAACAGATTTTGAAAATTCTGTCATCGATAGACATCATCAGCGAGTATCATTTTCAAAAAGTCGTAGATCCCTAGGAAGATTGAAATACCTAATGTAACCCAAGGTATAAAAAATTTGCCTGAAAAATTCATTATCTGTCGTGCACTGCGAAAACCACATGCTTGTTAATGACTAGACACACCAGTTTGCCTAGTTCTCTCAGGATAGTATTCCGAAATGCCAACAAGATTCGTTCCACAAACACAACTTTGTAACTTTTCTCATCCACTATAACATTGACATAGCTCTGGTCCAAGAGACTTACTGCGTAAAAAACCCTTTGTTATTCCAAACTTCAGATTTTATCATAGAGAAACTGTTGGCCGCCCTAGAAAAAGCGTTGGAAATTTTGTTAAACGAACTCCCCAGAGTGTACAATTCGAAATCGATAATGATCAATTATACGGAACTAACGCCGTGGGCCCCAAAATTCCGTTTAGAATGGGTCGAGACCAACCACGTCAACAAATGCTGCGGGTTACTTCAACTCCAAGCACCGTAAACTTCCAAGAGTTCGTAATATGGTGCACAGAGAGCAGAGCGATCCAGAACCATACAAAAAAATAACTTGCATTGCCCCTTCTCTTATTCAGGCACTCAATTTCATTATGAATATATGATAATTGCTGCGATTAAAATATTTTTATTGATAATTTTCATATATTTTGTGAGATAATCGTAGGAGTGTAATTTACTTAGTACTTTTCAAGTTTGGCCTAGCGCGTCAATTGGTGGTAAACCGGGCCTGTTTGCATATAAGACATCTCAGTCAAGAAGTCAAAAATGCGTTAATCAATTATTGTTTTTTAATTTTTTGAATCTTGATGATCGTAAATACTAAAGTTTGTCCATACAAACGATTTCGTATCTCTTGAATATTATTGTCTTTGAAAGAGGTATATTTTTAGTAGAGATTTATTTTCAGGAAAAAAGCTTTTTTTTTCACTTCTCCACCTTAATAAAAAATATTTTGC